GGGTGGTACTGTGCGTGGATGCACAAGGCGGTGGAGAGCCCGATCACGCCGGCCCCGATCACGGCGACACGCATGGCTCGGCCGTGGGCGCGCGGGAGGCCCCGCTGGCAGCACCGGGGAAGGGAGCTCTGGGGAAGGGTCGGGGCTTCGGGATCTGCTCCTGAAAGACCCGAGATGCTCTCGATTCTAGTAAACTCTGGACCACAGCTGGATCTGGATAAAGTGCAGCCCAGGATCTCGGCCATAAACCCAGCCCCGCGTGGGACTGAGACCTGCTCGGGCTGAGGGTGAGTCATCAGGATGGTGAAGCACCAGAGGTGGCAGGACCCAGCCAGGCTGCTCCCCATCTGCTACGGCTTTACAACTTAGAGATAACAGGAATCTGTGCTGGAAAAGCCTCTTTGCCTCCTCTACATGCAGCACAGGACGAGCTCCACCCTGTCCCCGCAGTGCGAGCCAAGGGGATAGCTGCCTCTGCAGGTCTCCTGCTGTCAATAAATAACAAAAATGCACCTTTTTCAACAACTTACCTCCAGATTACGTGCTCCTCAGGGCAATCTCCGCAGTTTTCCACAACTTCTACAAATGACCTTCTTCATGCAGCTTGTTTACAGCCCAAAAAGTCATTGCCAGTCCAAGGTTTAATTGCCTCAGGCAGAGGGATCACGATCCGCCCCCGGCACTGGGCAACAGGATCAAAGTCTTTGCCAAGGGAGGTCCCGCTGAGGAGGTGGAGCGCCCGCGCCGGCCAGCCCCGGTGCCCGCAGCGCGGCTGGAAACCTGCCTGGAGCCGCTGCTCCAAAAGGGGAAGGGGGTGGAAGGGGGTGGCCGCAGTCCCCAGCAAGGGCCGTGGCGGCACTTGCCTCCATGGGTACTTCACTGCTGGGATGGAGGAGATGGGGCCTGGCGAGGGGCCGCGCGGCCGGGGCTCCTTCTCCCTGGATGCAGGAGAAGTCGTGATGCTTTGGGCTCGGTTTTCGTGCTGCAAGAGAGCAATAGCCCTTGCGTCCTCTAGACAGACACCCCGGAGCCGTGCCATCCTGCTGCCCGCTCTGAAGGGTTCAAGGGCTTCATTTCTCATTTTTACGCTCGTTTTTCTCCCTTCCTGAAAGCCAGCGTTTTGCGTTCTGGGCTGACGAGGCAGGTTTCTTTCTGCGCGGATACAATTCCTGCCCGAGGAGGCAGCCCTGGAAGCACAGGCAGTGCTTGGACCGAGCTGCTGCAATTAGGGATTTTGCTGAGGGCTGCAGGAACTGCCTGAAGCTTTTGTTAAAAGTGGGAACGAGGAGGCAGCCCTGGAAGCACAGGCAGTGCTTGGACCGAGCTGCTGCAATTAGGGATTTTGCTGAGGGCTGCAGGAACTGCCTGAAGCTTTTGTTAAAAGTGGCAATGAGGGTAAAAAAAAAAAAAAAAAAAACGGGGACTAATCTACATAGTGAAGTTTAAAACACGTATTTGGACTCCCTGGCCCAGGATTTCCATCTGGGGAGAGAGGTGTTTTGTTGCAGCGTTGGTGGCGGTTTTACCGGGAAGGAGCGCGCGCGGCTGGGGATGCTGCACCCAAACGCTGCGGCGCATTGACCCCCGCCAGGGAGGACGCGGCCGCGGAAGGGGCTGGGCAGACGCGAGCC